CAAAGCCAGTTTCTCCTGGCCCAGCAAATCTTGTGCACTTGCTCTCAAGCATGCACCAAGACGTGGTTTCTTACATCATCATCCACTAAATTTCTTGAGGTGTATTTGATTTAGTGTGGATTAACCCCCAAACATCCACTTCTAGACCGAAGCTTGAAAGTACAGTGGTGGCTCGCTTAGCGATGTTAATTGGCTCAAAAAAAACACATTGCTATGGGAAAAAATCGCTAAGCGAAACACCATTTCCCATAGGAATGCATTGAAAACCGGCTAATCCGTTCCAATTGGAACAGATTGAATGCAGTGCGGCCAGAATAGGAGAAATATGGTGGTATTTTCTCGCTCTGCTAAGGAGTCTGACCACCACATTCTGCACCACCTGGAGCTTCCATGTCAACTTCAAAGGTAGCCCCACTGCTTTCCCACGCTGTTGCATCCTTCTCTATCTATACATGGTAAAGTCAACCCAATTTGAATCTGAGGGATGGTTGTCCAGTTTTCTCCCAAATACTTCCAGTGTTGGAGCACTCACACCTCCCAAGGTAATTAGTGCCATTGTCATACTGGTCTAACAGTGAAGAATTTATTTATTTATTGAATTCATACCCCGCCCATCTAGTCGACTGACTACTCTGGGCAGCTAACAACATATAGTGTAAACAATTTAAAATATAGAAACAAAGTAACATATTAATAGACAGTGCTCAAGATGGAAAAAGGTAAATCAAGTGGTGGCTGGAGGGAAGGCTTGCCTAAACAACCAGGTTTTCAATTGGTCTTTGAAAATACCCAGTGAAGGGGCCATATGGATCTCAGAAGGGAGGTTATTCCAAAGGAGAGGAGCCACGGCTGAGAAGGCCCTGTTTCTTGTTTTTTTCCTTCCGGGCCTCCCTTGGCGTTAGGCTCCTCAACCTCACCTCCTGGCTAGATCGAGTGATACAAGTAGATTTAAGTGGGAGAAGGCGTTCCACCAGATATCGAGGCCCTAAACCGTTTAGGGCTTTATACGTAAGCGTTAGAACTTTGAAATCTACATGGAACCGAATGGGCAGCCAGTGCAAGGCGGCCAGAATGGGAGTAATATGTTGATATTTTCTTACCCCAGTAAGAAGTCTGGCCGCTGCATTCTGCACCATCTGGAGTTTCCACATAGTTTTCAAAGGCAGCCCCACGTAGAGAGCATTACAGTGGTCTAATCTCAAGATTACGAGCGCATGGACCAGAGTTGTGAGCGACCCAGCATCTAGATAGGGGTGCAGATGGGCTATCCGCCAGAGATGGAAATGCGCGGTGCGAACCACTGGTGCTACCTGGGATTCTAAGGCAAGCGCCTGTTCCAGGTGGACCCCCAAGATGCACCCTCACTTTTCGCGGTGATAGTCACCCCCCCCCAAAAGAGAGGGTGTTTCCCAAACCGCTGATGGTAGGCCCACCCACCCTCAGGACCTCCGTCTTGTCCGGGTTCAGCCTCAGCCCATTTTCCTGCATCCATTGCTGTACGGCCCCCAGGCAGCGCTGAAGGGACAGGACGGCATCCACTGTAGTTGGCAAAAAGGAGATGTAGAGCTGCGTGTCATCCGCATACTGATGGCACGATGCTCCACACCCCCTGATGATCTCACCCAGTGGCCTCATATAGATGTTAAACAGCATTGGGGAGATGATTGAACCCTGCGGAACCCCACAATTGAGGCTCCACGGGGCCGACTCATGCTCCCCAAGCTGAACTCTCTGAGGATGGTCCCCCAGGAAGGACCGAAGCCAAGCCAATGCCTGACCACTGATTCCCAGCTTGAAGACCCTCCTCAGGAGGATACCATGGTCAACAGTATCAAAGGCGGCTGAGATATCGAGGAGGACCAGCAGAGAAGTTTTTCCCCTGTCGGCCTCCCTCAAGAGGTCATCTTAACAGGGCAACCAATGCCGTTTCCGTACCAATGCGCAGCCTGAATCCCGACTGAAATGGATCCATGGCATAATGGGGTGATTGAACTTAAGGCAGGCGATTTTCAAGGCTGTTGAAGTTGTTCATGAAGAATATTCTTTCCTCTAGCTTACTGCACATTGTTTATGCATCTGTTTTTCTTTTTTTCTGTTTGCTCCTCTACCATTCAGACATAGTCCTGTGGTCACATTTGATCTGTCTTCTTAAGGACACAACACTGAGTATCTTGGATAGTTCATATCTTCCATGGAAAGAGAGAGAAATGGTATTGTACACACTGATACCCACTTCAAGTTAACATGTGCAGCATAACATCAGCACACAATTTATTACATGTACACTTATGGGAGGGACAGGCCAATATGAGCAATATAACTTGTCTCTCTTATGTGGATTCAGGAATTTTATATACAGTACATGGTAATCAGGTACATAAGTGAAATGTATCAATATATTTTGTTTTATTGATTTGTTGGCCATAATAAACATACGCAAGTGAAGGGGCACTAAATAACATTGAGTGCTTGTCTGTCTTGGAAGAGTTGGACAGCGAACCAACTTTAGCAAATATAAAAGCGCCCTTGGATTCCCTCACCTCTTGCAAGTTACCTCAGAAGGATAATAATAATAATAATAATAATTTATTGTCATTGTAAGTGTATACACATACAACGAAATTCACAGACACCCAGAGACCAGACACATGCACACACATAAAATTCCCAAACACTCCCCACCCACTAAAAGTCCCCCACTAAAAATACAAACATCTACACCGCAGGCCAAGTTACACAGTCCAACTAATTATTCACTACTGGTGGTCTTTAAGCTCATTATTAATTGCAATTATAGCTCTGGGATAAAAACTATTGAGAAAACGTGTGGTCCGAGTCTTAATTGTTCTGTATCTTCTGCCAGATGGTAACAGTTCCAAAAAGTTATAAGCAGGATGGGAAGAGTCTCTCAGGATGCTATGTGATTTCCTTAGACAGCGGGATGTGAAGATGTCATCCAGGGTTGGTAGCTGGAGCCCGATGATATTCTGGGCAATTTTAATGGTTCTCTGTAGAGCTTTTTTGTCCGCTACAGAGCTACTCCCAAACCATGCCAGAATGCCATAGGTTAGGACACTCTCAATGGTGCTACGATAGTATGACAGAAGTAAATGCTGAGATAAATTTAACTTGCCGAGCATTCTCAGGAAATACAGCCTCTTCTGTGCCTTCTTCATTAGCATGTTGGCATTTATAGTCCATGAGAGGTCCTCTGAGATGTAAGTACCCAGAAATTTAAAACTACCAACTCTCTCCACTTCCTCACCGTTTATGTACAGTGGTAAATGTACATTTCTCTTCCTCCTAAAATCAATTATGAGTTCTTTAGTTTTTTTTATGTTAAGTGTGAGATGATTTTCTTTACACCAAAGTATCAACCTTTGTACTTCTTTTCTATAAGCAGACTCGTTGTTCTTATTTATGAGCCCCACCACTGTATTTCTTTTTTCTTATTTCTTTTTCATTTTCCTCCTTTATAATTTCTACCTTCCTCAGTGTTTTTTGTTATAGAAATTTTTAAAAATGGGGTTATTTTCTCATGTAATGTCATATCTCCTACTCTTAAGTTCATTATCTAAAAATAAACTTAAATGTAAATTAAAAGAGAAGAGGATTCATGACCGATAAGCAGATATACAGGTTGGAATAAAGGAAGTGGAACAACATTTTGCTCCAGCAGAACCTTTCAAAAACAATATATTTCATGATAAAAACACTAGGAGCTCCTCTTAATTAGTAAAGAAGAAGAAAACAATTATCTATTTATTCTATCTATCTATTTAGTATGATAAGGGAGCATTAAGAGCAAAACACTGGAAACATGTCTTTATGTACTTTGTTTTCTATGGCTTTTTTGTTCTTCAGTCTGAAAAGGCCTACCCTTTCTGCTTGGTGTATTACTGTGGTGCATAGTTATAGGTCACACTCAACTGGATTTTAGCATTTATAAAGTGTTTCAAATGCCAGGCAGTGGAAAAAGGTAATGATGGTGGTGTCGGCTGCAAACCTAGCTCTACAATGTGGCTGCTTAAATTTTATTGAAGTAAATGGGATTTCAGCAGCTTCAACATCTCTAGGATTGCAAACAATTATTTTTAACATTGATTTAGTCAACTGCTTTATGTAACATTTCTGTGGCCACTTTTATCAAAAACATGGAGGAGGTGTACACATGAACTTCCATCACAAGCTTGGGTTCCCTCATGCCCCACCACTATACGTGAATACATTTGAGCACGAAAACAACAGTTGCCGATAACGCAGTGACTGTTTAGTGAACCATTGGTTGAGACACTGAAGCACTTTCCACATTTTCATCAAGTGGGGGATGCAGGTCAAGCATCACAAATGAAATGGCCATCGTAAAGGCGAGTCAGACTCTGCCATCTGCCACTGCAGCTCTGAAAAAGGGCTCTGTGTGTGTGTGTGTGTGTGTGTGTGTGTGTGTGTGTGTGAGAGAGAGAGAGAGAGAGAGAGAGAGAGAGAGAGAGAGAGAGAGCGCAGCCCAGCAAAACGATCCCAGGAACAATGATACCCAGTGGTGTGTCACAGCAGAGTTGAGCTAAGAGACATGCTTTGCACCAACATTTTGGAGAAAAGACCCAAATATTGCAGTAACCACAGTGCCTGTGTTTCTGCCATCTTCATATACGCAAGCAAAAACAAAAAACAAAAAAAACCCCAAAAACAAACAAAGCCACTTAGCGTGTTCTCTCTACGTGTGTGTGTGTGTGTATTTTAATCCACAAAAGACAATAGTTCTCTTCATAAGGAATCCATCCTGAATTATTTACTGAGAGGACTGATTAAGGCACATCTCTCCCCTCGGTCTTCTTTGGAACCATGAATAAGATGTCCTATGTGTTTGCTTCTCTGCTGAAGATTTAAATGTCCTTACACATTTGATCGAAGCAACTCTGGCACAGCTGATGACAACAAAGCCCAGTTTCAAGCTCATTGTCATCACCATGGAGTTATAACCGATGAATGGGTGGCATTGATTCTGATTGGCAGACTCATTCACATGCATTCAGAGCTCATGAATTTTACTTAACACGTCCTCCTATTGCTTATTGGCTGGGTTTTAATTGGAGTGATGTATTGCGGATCTGCTAGATGAAGTGGAACAGTTTCTCCTTCTCTTTTCCCTTAGTTTAAGTGGCCCTTTTCTTTCAAACCACCTCGTCAGAGATGCTTCAGGCTAATTATTAATATATGGAAGGTAAAGCAGTCAAAGCTGGAAAGAATTTAATTCTCATTTTGTGTTACAGCGTTTTATTTTAAATCGACAACACGTTCACATAGATAGAACTAAAATCCAAATGTTTGTGTTTATTATTTGCTGCGCGGCTTGATCATCAAAGAGATCAGATGTGCTTGGGGAGGGGGGGGGGAATGGCTCTTTGTCTGTCCCAAGAGAGCTACAGATACAGCTTCCTGCAAGCGAAAAGGTTCATATGAAGCTCTGTTGAAATCACTGGGATTTGATCCAGTATGGCTGGTTCAGATGAAAGGCAGTACCCACAAAAGCCCCAAGGAATTTGGAGCTGCCAAATGTACACATTGGCCAGAATCTTATGGGTTTGTTACACTGGCATTATGCGCAACGGCATATTGCTGCTAGTGGGTTGCTGGGACCACATTTTTTTGTCTTCCTTCTGCACTAATCACGTGACTGCGTCCATGATGGGGAAAACACATAACAACTTTTCAGGTGGAAATTCACCAGTTGCACTTATGCTAGTTGACGTAACATGGAGGATTCTAACCAGGAAGGATGCTTTTCACCCATATCATTATATTCTTGTAAACCTGAAGAGAGGACCATATCTGAAAAACTGTAAAGTCAGTACATATCTATTGCCATATTAAGCAGAGGCGTGCAGTTTTAAATTAATGTTTCGTTTTGCAGTTGCCACTAATATGTGCAATTTGGTTTCTCGTTGTCACAAACTATAAACCGGATGAAGCAGGTAAAGATACTAGTGACATGGCTCTCTCTTTTTGACTTACAGCTCCGCAAAGCCTTGTGACCATGGGAGTCCATTATAGTCCACTAAAGTCACTTTCTCAAGCTCTGGAAATACGTTGCATCTTGCATTTGTTTGCCTCATAGCTGGTTACAGCATTACTATACCCGTCTCTTTTTCCTACCCAAGGGGGACTGAAGAAGCTCACCCATCTAAGGTAACAAAATCTTTGTTTAATTTGTTTGTATATTTAATACAAGGAAGTACAGTTTTACAGGCCATTCCTCGTCTGATGAAAGGTTAGGTCTACTGTTCCTCTTGTGCAAAAGGAATGGGAAGTTAACCCACATTGCCAGGATGTTGATTTTGATGCCAAAGCTAGCATTCACAGCGCTGACCAAATCTGAGCAGAATAAGTGAACATTATTGTAGCGGCTGCAACAGCTTGATCATGAAAGGGGCCAGAATGCCTTTGGCTAAAAAGATGTGAAAGGGATGCTATTTTGGCTTTGTTTGGCCAAATTATTTTGGCTGCCTTCATTTGGGCTGCATTTTGATTGCACAGTGCATCTAGAGGTCAGGAGAGGGGGCCGGCCTCAGGCTTCTGCTTAGGAGAGATAGCAGATAAATCTACCTGATTGTGTTTGTGATAATGAACCTTGTATTTTGTCATTGGCATGCGTGTTTCTTTCTTTCTTTTGCTAGGTACACTCCTGTACAAGTAAGACATCATTAACATTTATAAATTAGAGGCTGGGGATGTAGCCCTTGGAAAATTCATAGCTCAGCTGTGGAACCAGGGCAGCCACTTGGACGTCATCAAATAAGAAGACAGTCGCTGTTAACAGAGAGGACAAAAGTTAAGCCCAATTCATGCAAAATTGCATATCCTGGCCAAAATCCTGTTGATTAGGGTAGTAGATTGCACTAGATAAGGGCCATTGAATCAATGGAGATTTAGTGAGTCAACTCCTCCATAGATTCCATTGATTCAAATAGATATACTCTAGTGCAATTGATTACACTAAGCAATAGGATTTTGGCCACTAATTTCTATGCACAGGTGCAAAATCAAGAATGATTTCTATTATTTCGACAAAGCCTACAATAATCTTGATAAATTTGGGAAGACTGTAATCTGGCGACACGTGTGCCTGCCGAGCCTCCTCTCCAGTGAATGAATGGGTGACTGTAAGGTTTCTGATTTCCCACCTCTTTGCTGTTCCTAAATCAGATGTGAACTGGACAGCCCTTGAAGCAGAGGATTATCCCCAATCATCAAGGGTTTATGGCCATCTTGGAGAAAACGCATGATTTGCCCAAGGGCCTTGGTTCCTCAGGCTTCCAGCATCTCACATGGTAGACCTCTTTGAGACCTTGGGTAACTGCTGCGGGTCAGCAAAGAGATTGAGGATGGGCCAGATGGGCTCATGGAAGGCGAGACTCGAAATGACATCAGAGTTGCACGGTTGGGACATCTTTGTGAGGATGTGTGGTAAGAAAGGGTGCCTGTAAAAGTTACTTTTTGGCATAAACTGCAGCCCATTTCATTAGAGGCATGGAGTGTTACCTGACCAGGAATATCATGTATGCTTAGCTGGGAAGGAGGCATATAGCGGGATAGGAATTTATATCCAGAAGACACACATGGGTGATGGTCTTAACAGGGGACAGTCAATAGTAATAGGGTGGTGCTCTGGGGGACCAGGCTTTACTTCTGCCCTGTCTACTGTTGGGACAACAGAGGTGGTACCTATATGGAACCGTGAGCTGCCTGAGGCGTGCCCTATAGAACAAGAGACAGAAAGAGGCTAAAATATCCTCCCATTTAGTATGGGGTGTTGCAGAGGAACAGTTTGGGTAAGCACACAGGGTTAAGGAATTAAAAGAGTGGTGAGAAAATGCGGAAGGTGTATTGTTCCGTGTATGGTTGGCAGGGTGTTATTTTAATTCTAATCTCGGCACCCGGTGCCAGCTCACACCACTAGTAGGCCTGCATTCCCCGTCTTTCTTTAGAAAGCAGGCTGCTCAAACCTTTTAGGAAAAGTGACACCAGGCAAAACATGCGGCCTTTATTTTGCCAAATTGTTTCAGCCAATGAGCAAAGTCGCAGCTGCGACTGATGTCATATTTTTGAGCCAGAGCTATAAAAAAGTAGAAAGATTCACCCATTTCTAAACATGCTAAATGCACACACGTGCAGAATCACAAGGCCCTTGATTACACAAAACATCTACTGTGCAGATGCAATCGTGGCAGAAAAAAATTATTTCTTCAGTGCTTCTATTGCCATGAAGCAGGCTTTCCAATGAGCTCTGGCTTGTGTTTGGATTTCCTTTCAGGGTTCTGCCCTCGGCCATCCGATCTCTGATCTACTTTTTTCATCACCCCCAGCTCCCTACAAAACCATAGGGACAACCTTCCATTTGATGGAAAGGCACACCTAGAACGGATTGTGTCCAGCGCCCTGGCTTGTCTCCCCGTTCCAGAGATCAACCAGAGCTTTGATGGCATCACCTGATGTGGGAGCTTGAAACTCCCAAAGAATCCTCAGGAAACAATTTGAATCCATAAACTTCCTCAGCCAGACAATCCTCAACACACGCAGAGGCTCAGGTACTTCCAGTGAGTCTAGATCCCACAAGGGACGGATCTGTCCACAACAGCAGAACTGCAGAGAGTTCCTCTGCACTTTAGCCTAACCCCACAGAAAACTGGGTCCAGTGTGTGCCCTGCAACATGTGCGGAGTCCGATACCACTTGGAACAGCCCTGTGGTCATCATGGTGGACATGGCTTGGGCCACTCCTGAGAAGGTGGCTTCAGCCTGACTGTTGACGGCCGCAGCACAGCAAGCCAAGGGGACGTCAGCACCCCACCCCCAAGACCAGCTCAAGATGGACTGTTGTGCACCAGAATCTCCCCAGGCCCCCATGTTCAGATATGCACACTCTCCCAGTAGACTGCCATGCCAGTGTGGCTCCCTAATTGAAAACCGGAGAATGTTCCTAATTGGGATTTCTGGCTTCAGCCCAAAGGATGGTGAGGTACATTCTGAAATGTCTTGTGTGAGTGGACAGATGTACAAATAACCGTGAGAGGACTCATCTTCCCCTTCTCTTTCTCCACCTCACCTTCTGGTCTCCGCACTCCCTAGCAGTTGAAACTGCTGGTCGCCTTTTAGATTTTGCTGGGTGTTGAAGAGGTGAATACCATCAGTCATGGCTAATGTTGATAGGCAATGGTGCCTTCTTTTGTTCCTTCCTCTCCTGGAGGAAAGTTCTGAAGGCAGGGCTTTGTTTACCCTGCCATTTCATTTCTCTACCTTCCCCTTCCCTTTTTCTTTTCTTTTCTTCTCTTTTACTTTTAAGAGACTGGGTAATAATATTTACTCTGCTCCCTCCCCCCACCTTCACCTGGTACTGTTTACCAACTTTGGTTTACTAAGTCAATATATATCTATTAAGGAATACATAACAATGTTGTAATGAGAATTAGCACTACACTGAAAAGGCAGAGACGCTGGCTGCTACATTTTGCACTGTTTAGTCTGGGGGTAATGAAGAGCTCACAGATGACCTGATTTCTTTAAACTAGGTCAGATTTGACTGAGCCACCCGCTCAGGCAGAATCTGTCTCTCTTTCTTTTTTTGCACCCTCTCATTCTGTCACCTTGCCTCTCAAAACCTCCCTGGAAATCATGACAGATCTTTCTCTATGTCACTGCCGAACGTGTGATCCAGGTTGACTTTTCGAAATAGACTTCACTTTGTACGGGTGCCGAAGGAACCTCTGAGTGATTTGTTATACGTGAAATCCCATGCTGACTTTGTAGAAGAAATTAGCCATCCCTCCAAAGTATGGCCTAAATCCAATTTTTAGTCCCAACTAACTAAAGTGTGTCCTTTGAATGAATGGAACTGGTTCAGTCAACCCTTATGTAAGCCCCATTGATTGGTGGGTCTACTCTACTTGAGACTGACAACTGAATTTAGCATTCTCTCTGTGTGTATTTTTTTTTTAAGACTATGGCATGTTGATCATACAGAATGCTTTCAGCCTTGAATCATTCTAAGTACCATATCCCTCTTTCACTGATGCCCTCCCACACACCTCTAGTGTAGATGATGGACTAATTCAGAACCCTTCACCAGCCCTCAACTCACTGCTGTCCAAACATATCAGAAACCTCCATTCCCACTGTTATGCTCAAGTGCTCCTCCTTCACCTTTGCTGAACGCTATGATTGCTACACGACCCACTTCCTCCTTTCTGACCCGCCAGGAGATCAGTGGGAGTCAGAGCCAGTTATTGTACAGATAATGTGCCCAGCCAAGCCTGCTGTGCAGAAGCACAGAGCACCCGCTCTGGATGCACCCTTTATCAGGTAATGAACTGTATCTGAATGAGCGGAAACTGCTCACCTTTTTTCTGCTCACCTCTCTGTCTTGCTGGATTGGGGTAGCATCATGCCATAATAACTTAATTCAGCAACCAAGCACCCCTAAATTGGGCACTTGCTGATTTTGTAAGACCGCACCATGTGGCAGATGAGAGAGGATGAATTGCTAAAAGTGACACATGCACGCCTCTAGCCAAAACACACCTAGCTGCCTTGTGGGGTTGGAGGAACGATTCAGATGGCTTGCTAGGTTTTGACATTTATGGTGGTCTGATGAATGTAATTTGATTTTTATTTGCATTTTTAAAGGCAAGTTATAATAAAGGGGCAATTTCTCTGTAGGAACATAATGGGACAGAAAATTTCTGTGGTATACGTCTCCCTCTTTTATTGACTGCTGCAAGTTCCAAACCAGGGTGGGCATCACTCAACCTGATGGCCAAAGGATGCCATCCACTCATTTTTGTGCCCCCCGGGGCCAACCTGGGTCCCCAACTGCTGGAAAAATATTGCCTCCCCCACCCAGTGGAGAATTGGTGCTCAAAAAAGCCTCCGGGAGTGACCATTCCACTTGGAAACAAGGCTACTTAAAGTGACAAAATGGACATGAGTCCATGGGAATGTTCAGTAGAAGGACTTGTGTGCCCATGTCCTTCTCTCTGCTTTAACCCCGTGTATGAGCAGGCAAATGCTTACATAGGCCTAGAGCAGTGGTGGGCCAGCTCTGGGCATCCAGGGACAATTTCTTGCCTCCTTAGATTGTTTTTTTTTAGTTTTTTTTTTTTTACTTCTTTGGGTTTCTCTTTTTGCACTGAT